TGAAGGGTTGCACRGTCCTCTGGGGTATCAGTCACCCCTCCCAGCTTTGTGTCCTCAGAGAAATTGCTGGGGAGGCATCTCCCCTTCATTCAAGAAATCCATGAATTAAGGTAAAGAAATCAAATAATTAATGTCTGGGCCCAGCATTGAACCTTAGTAGACACCACCAGTGACWGGCCCTGTGCCACTGATTATAACCTTCTGGGATCCGCCATTCATCCAGTTCTCAAAGCACCTCATGTCCATTCATGCAGCCCACGTCTCCTGACTTTGCCTATGAGGATGYTGTGAGAGACAGTGTTGAAAGCCTTGCTGAAGTCAAAGCAAACAATACCCACTGCTCTTCCCTCATCCAWCCAGTATTTTTTCGTCCTACAGTAGAGTATGTACTCAGCAAGATAAAAAAAAAAAGGGGCTCCTCAAGAATTCCTTTATCATCTTCAGTCCTTAAGTGACAAATTCTAAGGCTCTCACAACTGCTTCCCAGAAATATTACCTAGCTCCTCCTCCTAAGGTTGTAAAATACTGTAAGTGATGATGACAACTTCTGTCAGATTTCTATCTTGTGTCATGGACAAATGGAACTCAGACTTAATCCACAAGTTTCTAACACAGACCTATAATCATTTTGGTTGTCTTTCTAATGCAATTACATGGAGAGTAAATAACATTTTCTTCTCACAATCTTTTCTTCTCTGTAGTACATACTTATTAAAACAAGTTCTAACATCTTGTCAAAAGTTAYGTGTTCATACATTTTAGATTTATCTACTCTCTCATAGTCTGAAGGAGACATGAAACGTGGTTTAGATGTGATGTGATTTTGCCTAGAAAGAAGCTATTCTGAATCTCTTGGATATTGTTCATCTCCAAAAAGCTCTGAAGATGTTTCCAAAACAAATGCATCAGTGATTATCTGCAGCTGCAGCTACTGAATAGCACAGAAAGATTAAAAGCATCCTCCTTTCTGTCTAGACAAGTGAACTTTATGTCTATATACATGCTAAAGCTGAAAGGGACATCTTATTAAGTGATGCTAAGAACTAAAACTTGGGAATGTCTACACATAGAGCTTTCRTTTGAAGTAGATGAATGTATACCTAATTAATTATCTGATGGTTCACTCTTCAGATGCATTTAACTAACWATCAGTTAGAAAAGAAAAGCAGTAGTAAAAATCCTAGAAGGTTCAGGTGGTAGACGTACTGAATTGTATCTAACTCATTTCTCTCCTGGCCATTGAGGGTGGAGAAGAAGAGAAAGAGCAGAGCAGACCATTTAGGCTGCTCATGAGCAAGGTGTCAAATGAACTAATTAGTATTTTTATCGTTCCTTGAGCACCAGCTAAAGAAATTTTGCCTTGCTAGAGAGCCTTAAAGATCTCCCCTCAAGAGGACTTTGCTAGCAAATTAAGCTATTCCACTGCATTTTACTTCAGCAGAATATATCTTGAGGCATCATCTAAGAACCAGCCTAGTTCCTCCAACAGTACCTGCTCTCTCTGCAGCTCTGCTGTTTAGGACAATTCATGGAAAAATACCTGTACTCTTCTCATGGAGAATAATCTTCGTAGAATGCAACATTTTAAATACCTTTTATGTGTTACTGGAATGGTAGGCAGGGCATCATCTAAACCAAATCACAGGATTTGAGTATTCATAGCCACATTAAGTTACCTTCATAGTAATCAAAGTAAGTTTCATCTAGTTTTTGGTCATATTAATTACACAGAGGACAAACCAGAATGCATACATTTCCACAGAAGAAAAGGAAAAAGAAAAAAAGGAGGAAATAAAAAAAAAGGTTTCCCCTTCTAGCTCTCTACATGTACATGGGGATCAAATATATAGACTATAATCTGCAGAGCTCTCCCTAATATTCTTAGATATAGATTCTGGTTTCTTCCCYTTACTGACATTCAGAATTTCTTCAAAACTATCCAATCAATCTTTTCTGCTATAAATTGAACTAATTCTTTTTCACTAGTCAAACAGAACAACCCCTTTAATAATCTCTTACATACTATAGAAAACATATTTCCTCTCCTCTGACACTGTTTTCTCAATTAATGAACCTGCCATGCATTGTATTTTCCAACTGCCTTCTCCTTTTTGTTCTTCTAAACACTTCTTGATTTCTAAGTTCCCTGTCCAAAACTGGTCAGTGTACATAGCAGACACATACTTGAGCCCTGGGGAACTCAATCTAGTTGAAGACATCCCAACTCACAGCAAGAAGGCTGGACTAGGTGACCTTTAAAGGACCTTTCCAACCCAAACTATTCTATGATTATCTGCAATGAATAAAAACCAGCACTTAAGTCTCAAACCACCTTCACAGTTGAATCAATAATCAACTTTTTGCAGAAATTAAATTTTTCTGTAATTAACCACAAAATGAATTTTAATTTGAATGTTGTTGCATGCTTCCTTCTCCCACAATATGTAACTCCTCACTTCAGGTTTATTTGATATGCTTGGTGTTTTGGTTTTTTTCCCCTTAGCAGCATTTACATTTTTATTGACAGAGTAAAACACATACAAGTAGAGGTGATCAAACTCCTGATTTGAGCAGCACAGCTTTTATTAGCAATTCTGAGAGAACTGAAAGAGATTAAGTTTACAATCCAGACTGCTCCAGCTGGGAAATCAGTTGGGGAAAAAAAGACTACTCTGACAATTAGGCATACTAGATATAAATCAAACATTACTGAAAAAAAGGTATAATTCTGTTTTATAATAAGAATTTCATTTCAAAGTAAAGACAGAATTCAGCTGTCCAAAAAGAGAAGTTGTCTGCTACAGAGCCAAGAGCAGCAAAGAGGGACAGAGCCATTTGCAGAGAAAGCATGAGAATTTTTTATGTAAATCACATGTTTGTATCTGATATTAGATTACAAAGAAAAGAGGCAATTCATCTACAGTCAGCACAAAAGAGCACCAAAGAAATCCTAAACAGTAAATATTAAAGTGGTAAGAGGTTTAATCAAATGTTATTTTACAACTCCAGGTATTATTGCAGATGTCAGTCACAGCCAAATAGGTGTAAGATTTTAATTAAACTTTATATTATTTWAAAAAAAAGGCTAAAACATCTCTTTGTCTGGCACTCTCATGCTTCATCCYCATACTGTCCTTCTCATACAAAGAATTCAGATCCCATGGGACCTTAAGAGTCATCTACAAAAGGCTGGGTTGAGCAATATTGCCTTAGATGGTTTCTTCATYCTGAGGATTCATTCACAGTATAATACATTTTGCAAGACCTCTTAATTGGTGCCCAGTCATAAAGCAGCACAAATATCAATTTGAAAAAACAAACCCAAGTCTATACATTCCTATCATTTGGCAGGAAGAAGACTTTTCTCGCACTATAATCTGTCATACAAAAAGGTATCATAAGCAGTCTTTGATACCTARCAGATGTATTGAGACGTAGTCAGTCTTTCAAAGGGACAAAATGGCTACAATGCAGCCACTTACGCTTCTTACATTATACGAAGCAGAAATACATTTAATTGTTTTGAACATTACAACAATTTATTATAATATTCTTAATGTGAGTTGCGGTCAAGGAAGAAAACTAAACTATTCCATCACTTCTGGTAAAAAATACAGAAAATGATCATTCTACAACAAAGACAATTCAACCTTCTGAAAGTCAACTCTAGAGGTGCAACACCTGCACCTTACACCTCTATGTAAGCATACACCTATGTAAGCATACCTGCAACTCCAAAACTCACACACACATTTCTAAAGCAAACACAATCAACAAAAGCAACCAACCAACCAACCAACCAACCAACCAATCAAAAATACACAAAAGAAATACCACTTGACACATTGTGGTTGAAAATTCAGACCTTTAAAATAGCCATGACTTTAACACTTAAATAGTAATTATTAAAAATTTACCTATTGCATTCATTCTGTGCATCTCAAGGAACAATTACACTTGCCCCCATACCTCTACGGTAGATGTATAAATCATCAATAACATCCCTATGTTAAAATTGCCTAAGAATGCATGTATATGTGCATATATGTAATTTACCTGTCAACATGACACCATGACAACAGGCAACACGACAAAATAAACTCTGCACCTACTCAATTACTAAAAATCCCTGTAACTTAAATAAGATGTCAAATACACTTCATTTTTCACTCCTTCTCAAACTATACTGAAAAATCTTCTTTCAGTATCAAGGACCATCACATTGGAACCCAGTCTGGAATGCACTGTCATTTATGTTAAAAATAAGTGMATTTTTTTCTCTTTTTCCCTTTCCTCAAAACAAGTGGCACATTCACACAATACCAAGAACATTTTCAGCCAGTACTAAAGAAAACAGATGAGAAAAAAACCCCACAACCAAAATAACCACAAAAAAACCCTGAACCACAAAGAAGGTCTGATACAATTTCAAGTCTGTCTCTGAGCTCATGAGACTGAATTTTATTTTAGAGAAAGACACAATAATGAGATAAAGATCAGTAGTCTTGCCATGAAGCAAAATTTAGATCATGTGCTCATATATTTGGATTAAAACAGGTAGCAGAAGAAGAAACAAGTATCAGCTGTATGAAATCAAATACAAAGAAAATGGATTCTACATGTTAAGATAACTGACAATAATGTAAATATCCAGTAATATTTAATTTATATGCAGTTCCTCCTTAAAGAAAGAGGGCAAGAATGTGCACACAAATCCATTATAGAAATAACCGCATGCACAATCTGTTACTTCTGATGCCTCWTGCCTTACAGTCTTTTACTGTATGTGCTCTCTGGATGTTACTTCATGAACAGAATTAAATCAAAAMCAAGGTGGTTTTAATAATATCTGCCTATATTAAAGACCAACAACTTGGCAAGCATATACCAMTGAAGCATTATGTGTACTTCATCATACCACTTTATATAATTACAAAACTACTCACAAGGATATCAGGAAGTAGCTTTTCTTTGCTTAGCAATAAGAGCCAGATACTCACAAAGAAGGGTCTTGGACCAGATCTTTAAGGTTTATCCCACTACGATCCTCGGCAAGGTTCCTGAAGCAACTGTCACTCACTAAAAAAAATAGAAATAAAATTAAAATAAAACAAACAAAGGGGGGGGGGAGGTAGAAATTTAATAACAGAACACAGTCCTTTTGATTAACTAAAAATGGTTTTTGGTGTTGAGTGAAATTTGAGCATTCATATATAAAGTCTGATTTTCATTGAGGTTCAACCTAATTCAAAGATAAGCCGACTCAATGGAAARTGATAAACACTGTACCACAGCTTATGCAGAAATAAACTGCATAAATTTCAGGTGTTGTTCTCACTACTTGTCCACCTGGGGGCACATGAAGGCTCAAACATGAACAGTGGATGTGCAGGTATACAGAAATATCCATATACTTGACAGRAGAGTCCGTAATCATTACTGATCAATATCCTTTACTTAATCAGAAACAAGTGAGAGCTGCTATGTATTAAAGTCCATAGTTATTCGTGGGTTAGCAAAAATGTTTAATATGAGCAATAACCAAAACAATTAATTAAGAATAAAAATTTATTCAAGCAACTTAAAAATAACTTATAAAGGGCATGTAAAGCAATTAGTTACAGTAACAACTGAAATTACCGTAAATGTCACAAAAGTTTAAAAGAGTATTAGTGTGCTCTCATTTTCTTCACAACTTAAGGGAATAAAAAGAAAAAAAAAAAAAGAAAAAAAGAAGAGATCTAAATCTCAAACTCCAAATTTGTTTGCTTGGCTAACTCTCTCAGCACATGTACCCCAATTTTGCAATCCACTTCATTTCTCTTAACACCACAGTCAAATTGAGAGGTGGAAAAAAAGTAGCAGCACAAATACTTTTAGAACAACAAAGTATCAGTTAAAAGCAATAATAGTTATTTCTGACTACAGCTAACTTGCTGAAGGACACAAAGGTTTTGATATGGAAAAATCAGTGTCAGAATCAATTTGTCATAATGGACAAGGTAATCTGTGAGACAGAAGAAAGTTTATGAAGAAATGCATTATTGCTCATCTTTTCAACACAGAATACAGCCTCACACTTGGAAAAAGGGGATGTGTTTAAAATCATCTCCAAAAGCAAGGGTTCCTACTTCTTTCTCTCTAAATGCAAAATACTGTCTCTAATTTCCATCTCTAAGTATTCATGTGCATCACCAGCATCGAGAAAATGCAAATTATTCCCAAAATATATTGTTTTCACAGATTACAACACATACAGTGACAGACCTACCTAACATACTATAAAACTGCAAAATGTTTCTACTAGTACCCCTCAATGCCAATGCATCTCACAAGCGTGAAACCTGTTAAGATTGCTGAGAAGGACAAGTATTGGAAGAAAGCATCCCAGAAGAMGAGGCTGGCCTAGCTGATGGAACAGGTACTGGCCCTGGCCCTCAGTCAAAGCCTGACAGTTTATGACAGTAAGAGAGGTATTTGTCAAGTGCTGAAAACATTCACCTCAACACTGTAATAACGAACTGATATCCTAAGCTTCTCTTATCCACTGTCTCTGAAAACAGTACCTAACAATCAGTGGTTACACACAATCCCTGAAAGATGTCAGTCTTTCACAAGGGGTCTCTTGTCTTTGAGGTACTTGCCACAGATCTTCAGTTTAAACAACTGATTGTGCTAACTAACCCCAGACCTCTCAGCTTGCTCCTCTTGTGAAAACTCAATCGTTGTCTCTATAACAAAATGACACTACTTGCACTGAGTCCATAAGCACTGCCCACATTGCCAGGGAAGCTCTCACTGAGCTGCTTGARCCTTCARGAATTTTTCCATGCCCATCTATTACATTGAACCCAAGACCGTTGAGCACATCTCTAAACTCTTGAGTTAAAGGAGTAATTCCAAAAACAGCAGACACATAGACAATCTATAAGCTAGATTTCATGGGAGAAAAAATTCCCTCCTACATTGATATTTGATAGTTTATATTTGCTTCTTGCCAAGTTTGGAAACAAAACAGCAAACAGAACATCTTACCTACTGTCTTGTCATAAATCCTACCCTACCAATGTATCAACATATCTCCGATGCTAACACAATACATAACAAATAAAAATTATGGTCCACACTATTTTTTCACTACTGACAAATCAAACATTTTATAAGCATTAAATATTTAATCTAAACATGCTGCATTTCTTCTACTCTAGTCTCCTCTAATCTCCTCATCGAAAGCACTAACAGYGATAATCGAGGGAACTAGTGGCATTGTCTTAAAACTTCTTTAAAGGGGAAATTAAAAATGACAACATAAAATTATCTTATCACTAAAACTGGCCATTATTTGTCTGTAACTCATGATGTTTAMAACACAAAATGTGTTTCAAATAAATGTTTAAAATGAATGCCTAGATTTGCCACAGACAGCCGTTTTACTTGTCTCAACATAACTCTAATATTATAATACTTCTTTTATGAATTAATGTTGGAGGTTAGGATTTTTCTCTTTTTTTTT